TTTTTAAATAAACTGCTTTAAATACCTACTTCAGAGAGCCTGGACAGAGCGGCGTAGCTTTCCTCTCACTATCTAAATAAGGCCCCTAACAATGTTATCACTTTTCAAAACACATCTGTCCCGCAGCTCCTAGCCCAGACAATTGGCAGGTAACCAGTTAATAAATGTCTTCGCCAGACTGTTGAATAGGCTGGCCCCGGCTCAAGAGTGATGTCAGGGCCATTCAATGCACTATAATTGGAAAAACCTGGGGAAAGCAATCCCATGTTTTTTAATAAATAAAGAGCGTATTAGCAGCCTCCTGCTTTTATTCACCACGGTGTCTACCTTGTTCGGTAGCAAAGTGGGATTTTTTTTTCTGCTGCCGCTCGCTCAGTGATTTCTACTTGGAATTTGATGCCAGTTTCCAGATGTGTCTCGGGCCAGGAAGTCAGCAATCAGCCTGGATAAAGCCTCTGGGATTAGCTGCAGATCATCTTTTGACACACACATCCTTCCTGCACCCTCTCTTATGAAACAGGGGCACACCCCTCGTGCCCAAAAATAAAATAAAACAACCCAGAGCCAAGCAAAAGCCTCTGATTAGGATGCTTTGATTACTTTCATCTTAAATATGTGGGAATATATTTAATTTATTCAATCCATCAAAGCCCCTGAGGCACCATTTGAGGGATCTTTACAACACCAGAGCGTTTATATACATAAATCATTTAACAATTGCAGGTTCCCTGTCTGCTGGAGCAGTCCCAGGCGAAGCTCATCTCCCAGAGCTCCTCACCAGTGGTACCTACAGGAGAGCATCAGCTCCCCGGGCTTGGCCGCACAATGCCCGAGAGGGATGAATCCTCCAAAGGACTCACCCTTGGAGGAAGAAGTGAGGATGATAAATGAGTTTTCTGGGCTCTGTGAACAACTTTGGGAAGCTAAAACCCAAGCGGGTGACATGAAGGATGTGGTTTGCATGGAAAATAATCCCAGCACTCTGACAGCAACGCATCTTTCAAACCTCCCTGCATCCCTGAGAAACGAACCACCCCGGTTTCCCAGCCGGGAGGAGAGGGGCTCAGCCCCACGCAGCCGGGCTCCACACTTGCCCCGGCCACGTGGTACCGTCTGCTGCAGTTCCGCAGGGATCCCAGCCCAAGGGGACCCAATTATCGAATTCCCAACAAAATATTATTTTTCCCCCGCCAAGGCATTTCAGAGTCTGTTGTCAGGCCCCTTTCGCTCCTTTCATCTCCCCAACAAAGCCCAACCAAATTACCACCAGCCCTCCCGCAACGACCGCCCCCCCCATGCGCTCCCACAGCCACTCTGCTTTAACAGGGCACCTGAGAGCCGCTGCCAAAACAGGAAAGCAGGCGCCTAATTGAAAGGGAGTATTTGGGAGTCACCCTACACAAAAATTAGCAGAGATATGCTAGGAAAATAAAAGAGTGGGCATTAACGGCGGGCTTATCTTCTTTTTCCGTGACTCTAATGTTCGGGATGTGAAGAGGCCAAAAAGTTTCACGTACTGTTCTGAGGAGCTGGTTGTGGAGAGGAGCATCCTCTCCTTTACGTTCACTGCTCTCCCCAAAATAACTCAGGCTGATTTTGAGGTGTGGACCTCCAGAATTAAAATGCAAACGTACGCAAGCCAAGAAAACCCTGCGTTGCTACTATGCAATCGTGTAGCAAGTGCTGGGTCTTGGTTATGGGTTGAGAAGTCAAGCGCTGCCTGATTTCAACCCACCCGTGTTAGGTTTGGTAAAAACAGTAAGCTGTGCCTAGGGAGAAAGAGAACGTGGATGTTTTCCGTCCCGAGGAAGGAGCATGGAGGTCTCCGCTTCTGGAGGTGGGACTGAACTGTAAGGTGAGTGGCCAGAGAGAGCTCGACGAGGCTGGTTTTCATACAGCACAGGGAGCCCCCCCGCTCGCTACCCACCCCTGGCCAAGATCTCAGCCTGGGACCGTGACCCGTCCCCAGGGGAAGCGCCAGCCAGCGCCAAGGGGAGGATTTAGGATTAACTCCAAAGAATCAGCCGGTCCCACCCCACCCTGCAGGCAGCCTGCAGAAAGGAGCAGAAGCCCTCTGGGCCAGGCAGAGGGATGCGCAGGGAGCAGGCAGGCCTGCCTGCACTCTCAGCGGGGTTGGCAGCATCTGACCCAGCGCCCCAGAGCACCCCTGCCCGCTGGAACTGCTCAGCACCTCCAGCCCCAGCTCCGGGCTGCAGGAGCCTGGCTGGCTCTCAGAGCGGGAGCAAGTCACGGCAATAGAGAGGGGAAAAAAAAAAAAAAGAAGAAAAAAAAAGAAAGGGAGAAAAAGCAGCGGGAAGCCCTGCTGAGAAGCCCCCTTTTGTGTAAACATGCTCCGTCCTCAGGCTAAAAATAAAGGCAAACCACAGGAAGGGAGTGAGTGCTTGGACAACATCCGATTTGATGTGTGCCTGGGTGTGAGCTGAGGGAACGGGGAGAAGAGCAGGGGACTCCACCCAGCGCAACCACACAAAGGCAGACGTTTAAGACCTTCAAGATGGACAGGCATTC